CCCCGCCCCGCCTCGCCCGCCGCCTCCCCCTGCAGCCGGGACAATAGAGCAGGGCGATGTCTTCCTCCGGCGCCCACCAGCACAGCCAGAGCCGCGCTATCCCCACGCGGACGGTGCCCATCAGCGACTCTGCGCAGCTACCTCACGACTACTGCACCACGCCCGGGGGCACCCTCTTCTCCACCACGCCCGGAGGTAACGCGTGGCCGGGCCTCTTGCGCGGGCAGGGGCGGCGGGGAAGTGCCCCGGGCTCCCGCGCCTGCCCCCAGAGCTGGGGACGCCCGCCCGCCGCGGGCATGTTGGGTGTTGCTCTGTTGGAGAGGCCGGGGCCCAGCCCTCCTGCCCCGCTCTGGTGCGGGACGGGCAGGCAGATATTTGTAAACAAGGCCTCGGAGGCCGGGACGAGCCGGGACTGTTGCCCAGCAGGCCGGAGGGAGCAGGGGGAAGTCTCCCAGCAGCTGTAGCAGGGAGAGAAACGCGAACGGGGCCGGGAATGCGGGCGCCCCTGGGGCCTGCTCTGGGGTCGGGAGGCGGCTGCCCTCGGCCCTTCCCGCCCGAGACGTGCAGAGGAGTGTGGAGGGCTGCGTGCGAGGAAGTGCTAACTTTGCAGCCTAACACGGATGTAGATTGTGCAGCCCAGTTGTTTACCGTGCGCAGCGTAGCGGCCTTCCCTGAGGCGGGTTCTTGGCAAACTAGGCCCCTCTAGCTTTATTGTCAGGCACAGGTTTTCACTCTGCTTTTATTAGCAGAAGGGGTCCATAGGAGCTAAGATGTAGGTGCACCAGAGATCACATTTGTATTTGAAAGCTTGGCCAGTCCCTCCCACCAGAGATGAGGCCAAATCACAAAATACAGTAGTTCCTTCCCCAGTAAAATCCATGCGGTGTTATGTGACTTTAATAGAGGCTGATGTGTACATGGGATTCCAGAGCTAAATATTAGCTGTGTTTCTTTGGGGGTCCCAGGAAGGCATTTGCATACATGCTTTGGGCAACAAAGACATTTTTGCTATTAAATAATTAAGTAGGAATTTTACAGTAGTTTTCAATGTCACTTTAAAAATAGCGCCCTAGTTCATGGCCTAGATCCTTGGTAAAGCTACAGGGAAAGAAAGTAGGCAAAGGTTCCTAGAAGATTAATCAGGACCAAAACAAAATATTCCGGGTCATAAGCTTACAGCTTTTGTATGTAGTTTTCCCCAAGTCTCCTGAGACTTGTGCTTGTTTTCTATGCCACTGAAGCTGGATATTGTTCTGTTTTCAGTGTTGTCAGTGAGGTAGATCATAATTGTTGAATTACCATAGTTTGGATATGATAAATTGTAGTTGCGTTAATTACAGGCATTCCCTATCATTTTAATCTCATGCGTTGTTCCTCTTGTGCCTAACTGGGTTTTTGCTGTGGTGGGTTTTGGTAGGTATCTTTCTGTGAGTGTATAAGTTATTAACAGCCCATCTTCCTGTTGCCTCTTCATTTGGTCAGCTGTGCTTGCATATTAATAGCGGTCTAAAACAAGTGCAAGTGTTCCTTCTTTGAGAATATTATGCAGCTACAGATTGAGTGGTGTGCATGAATTTTACAGGCCGTGTATAATACTGCCTGTTCTCCATCATGTCCCCTGTTTCTCATGTAGGGCACTTTTTACTTTTTCTGTAGTCTCTATTCTTTAACTCCAGGGAATGCTATTAAGTGAGTTGTTGAGTTTGTTATGGTTTTTTGTGGTGGTTGGAGGCAGCTTATCAGTGGTCTGGACAGGTTGCTGTAAACTTTTAACAAAATACTGGGTAAATCTAGCCATGTTACCATAAGTAATGGCCACAGACTCTTTGCAGAATTGTCACTTGCAACTTTCTTTTGCTACTCTGACATACAGCTTTTACCCAACAGAGTACACGAGTCTGGAGTTGTTGATTTGGCCTTTTTCTTTTTTTTTAGGCTTGTATCTTGATGGGGTTGAAGTGGAAGCAAAGTTCAGCTTGAGAAGGGCATGCTGGAGAATTGGTAGCAGTCACTAGGTGCACTCAGATCACTGAATCCTTCAACAAGGAAAAGATGCATTAACTAAAGAAGTTCAGGGGAGAGACGTGCAGAAATGATGGGAACAAGAATGATGAAAACAAAGACAGGGCTGAGGAGAAATGCATGAAATGTAGGTAGAATGAGGGAGAAACAAAGCGCTGGACCTCAGAAACAACCCTCTTCAAACCTAAAGTGTTTCAGATCTTATAACCTTACAGAATAGGAAAGTATTAAGAGTGACTCTCCACCTCCCCCTGCTCCTCTCCAACAAACCATTTTACAATGCCTCTGGGCTATAGTAGCTCTAGCAGTTTAGAGAGTGGTTTAGACTGATACTGACTGGGAGTTACTGATATGGAGTTGGAAACCTGTAAAAGTAGTAGTAATAGAAATGTAAGCATTTCATTAATACTTTACAGGTTTGGATCCTAGAACATTGGACACAAGTCTAATGTTAGATGTATTTTTTTTTTCTTTTTTTGCCACCTCACACTAAAAGGTTTTTTTTTCCCCACCATCTCCCACCCATTCCTGATGCTTCTTATGGCCACGTTTAAAAGCAGTGATTGAGTAGAAAGGTTATGAAAAGGAAGCGTGTGCCCATAAAGCAGTGATAGGTACTCATTCGTGTCTTTTATTATTTTAAATTAATGGATAAATGTACCACAGAGGAAGTGAAGGACTTATGGAGCTAGCGTGAGCCAATGTACTGCATGCAGATATTCCTGCAAAGCAAGATTCTTCTTTTCAAGTGCTCAGTCCAATCCCACCTTTAAGTACGTCTATCTGTGCTTTGTGCTATGTGGATATTCAACATGGTGGGTAGGTCTGTCAGTTAATGCAGCTCTACATTATTAGGGGTCCCTGTGCTGGCCTTATCGTTGGCCATCTCTAATCATATTGTATGCTTTGTGAAAAAATGTCTGGTGTTGAGAACAATAGAGAGCCCCTCTGCACTTTACACCCTTCATCAAAGGGTCTTGTTGTATGTTACAAAGTTGGAAAACGTTTCTGTATTATTTATCCCTGTTCCACACATTGAAGCCCAGTCTTCCTTCGAGATTAACTGATTTGCTCCAGTCTGCAGCAAGGAAGTGGCAGTGTTGAGCACAAAACAGATCAACTCTGCCTTCTACTGTAATCATCAGAATTGTTGTTTTTCAGAAATGTGCCCAGTTTAGAGGGCTGCTTGCAAGTTATGTCACACTTTTGTCTGAATATTTTTCTGGTATAGTGACTGAATAGGAATTACCTAAAATAACTGAGTTTACAGACTGCAAATAATCTTTATTTTTAGTTTATTTATTTTGCACATTATGATAGCACTCTGTATATGGTCATTTTCAGTGTTTCCTCTTTTATTCTGTACTTATTGGCATAGATTCATAGGTTGTAAGGCTGGAAGGGACCTTGGAAGATCATCGGGTCCAGCCCCCTGCACCAAGAAGGAGATAAGACTGGGGGTCAGGTGATCCCAACAAGGTGACTGTCCAGTCTTCTCTTGAAGATTTCCAGGGTAGGTGATTGCACCACCTCTGGAGGGATCTTATTCCATGGTCTGGACACCCTGACTGTGAAGAAGTTTTCTTAATGTTGAGCCTGAATCGATCTTCCAGGAGTTTGTGGCCATTACTCCTGGTTTTCCCCAAGGGAGCCCTGGTGAAGAGTTGCTCACAGAGCGTTTGACTTACTCCCCTAGCGTAGCAGTAAGCTGCTTCCAGGTCCCCTCTCAGCCTTCTTTTCTTCAGGCTGAAGAGTCCCAGATCCCTCAGCCTTTCCTCGTATGGCTTGCCTTTTAAGACTGATCCTACAGGTGGCTCTTCTTTGGACCCTCTCAAGCTTGTCCATGGCCTTATACAAGACCAGCAAAGCATTTATCAAGAAAATAGAAACATGACTGTAAACACCTGCCTCTGGCATGAGGATTGTCAGCTATGTTAACTTTTTAAATTTAAAATTAGACTTCAGGCAAATAGTGCCCTCTTTGTGTGTGGCACAGGCAAGATTAAACCTGGCTTTTCTGGAAAGTAAGAGCTAGAACAGAGCCCTCAGGAACATAACCTTAGAACAGCAGAGGCCCTGTGTAGAAGGGAGGGACTTTAGTGGGACAGAATCCTAGTTCAGAGCTTACGGGGAACAAAAGTCCTAGAAGAGCCAGAGCATGGCCAGCAGAGAGTTGTGAATAAAGTTCAGAGACTATGGTTAGGACAGGTTGCCCCAATTTGTATAGTCTCTTTTGTCTTCGAAAAACAAACAGCACTCCTGTCCTTTTTAAGCCATGATAGTGTTTTCATTTTAATTTTAAATCGCTCAGTGTGATTTATCAGCTGTCAGGGTCCTTGAACATTTTTCTGGGGTAGTTGAAATAGTTTTATAATATAAAAAAATCCTGTCTTCAAGGACTCGTTCCTGCACAGTCACTGGGAGTCTTTAAAAACCAGCTCAGTTCAAACTTTTCTGGCTCCAGGGCACCTTTATACATCTGAAGCTTCTGGTGGAGGATCCTTCTAAAAAGGCCAGGTCAGAAGCAGGAGAAGAGCTTCTCAACTGCATGGCTTGTTTCTGTGAGGCTTCCTTGGATGATCTTTATCATTAGGTTAGACAATATCTATTGTTGTTATTATTACATTTCTCCCTGGCCTAGAGCCATTACTTTGGGAGGTTCATTTGCTAAACTTGTCTTCAGTTCCTGCTCCTAACTGGAGTTCTTTCTCGATGCAGTTCTCAAACAAAAGGTTAGTCTTAAGGCAGTATGTTTCTCCTATCTCTGTTCAAGGGAAACACCATGTAGATGTCTGTTGTCACCTGAAGTACACAAACGTGCACAGATAGGTACCTGCTTAGATAGAAAACATTCCAAAGGAAGTGGAGGGGAAAGGGAGAACTTCAGATGCCCTATTTCCTTATTGTTGACCTGAAATTGCTCTGATTTTTCCAGTCTGATATTTGCCCTGCAAATCAAATATGGAAGAGCTTTGTACAGGATACAAAGTAGTTTGTTCTTGAGCAGCTGCCTATGGGTGAGAAATATCACATGAACAAATAAAACAGGACAAAATTGCATAATGCTGGCAGGCACACTCTGTTTTTGGTGCCCAGCTGAGATGTGGCCTGTGCAAGGCCCATTGCTAAGAATAACAGTTTGGAGAGAGGCAAATATACAACTCTGTGTTAAAGTAACAGGGTGGGGGCTGTGTTTTGAGCCATTTAAACATTTACTTTTCAAGGGAAACAGACCTGTGGTAAGACAAAATGATAAGCCTAACCTGAATAATAACTTTGGATTCTCCACTCCCCCCAAAATCCTATCCAGATAGCACTTAGTGATGAGTGTGTCATCCCCTGCCCCAGGTAATGCATGTTTGTCAAGAGCATGAGGCTGCGGCACTGTCAGAGAACTATAACTTGCTGTTGTGAATCATAAATGGGTGCATGTAATTTTTAAATGTTTCTACTTAGCTTGCTTTTGACCATTAACCATACTGAAATATTGACACAGATGTGGGACTACAGAGATGTCTCAGGCTTATGCTTGTACCTATTCCCAGCGTGTCTTCTGAATTATTTGCGCAGTGTATAGTCAGCAAGCTGATTCCTGTCAGTGCTGCAGAGCTGCCTTCTGTCACCAAAATCCAATTCAGTTCTATCTCTAGGCCCTCTGTTGTGATGGATGAGGTGGGAATCTTCTCTAGTTATTTGATACCCAGCTGATTGTGCAGCATTGACAGTTTTCAGAACATGTTTTTTCCACCAACTAAGCAGACCTGGTGGTATAAGCTATTGACAGAAACTGAAAATGGGACCTGAAAATGACATTTCTCTGACCACTTAAAACTAAAAACAGTGTATGGTTTTTTTTTTTTGTACTACTTATCTTGGAGTGCAATCCTCGCAATTTTTTTAATCCTTGCCCTTGGCAATGCTGTTTCTGCTTTGGAATAAATTCTCCCTCCTCTAATGGACATTTGTAGGATAATTTAGCCCTGTTATTGGGTCTAAAATATTCCCAGAGCTGCCTTGCCCCTTGGGTGATGGGAACTGATGTGCCCAAGTGATGATAAATGTTTTGTACTTGAGGTAGAAGAGAGGGATTTGTATGTGATGTCCTGGTGGAAGGCAAGTTATCTCTCTGAGCCCCAGGAAATGAACTGCTAGGTGTCTGGTATTGAATAGTTCCTTAGTGCTAATGCCTGTGTCCCTGCCACTGGAATAGGAAATCATATCAATTCTGCCCCAACCTCTTCAGCCTAGGCAGAAAGCTCCAAGTTCACAAGATCCCAGTTAGTGACCTGCTGAGCACTGCTGCAGTATTTCTTGCATTATATCGAGCCAAGTGTATTCAGAAAAATGTTTCTGAACTGAATCATGTTAACTTCTCTCACCTGAATAAGAGAAGGTCATTGTCACTACTGCCAGTGACTCTCCTTTCTCTTTGCTTAACTGAGCTCACCATAGTTCATCACAATTCTTCCTGTGGCCTACTGTTCTCTCCCTTCTCCTCTTGCAAAGAACAGATTTATTCTGGCTCCAGGGTTTCCATCCTCTCTCCCTTCTGTTTGTTCTTTGTTCCCCTTTCTTGCTACTGTGTCGTCCTCCCCAGTTCCCTGTGGTGGCCCTCCCCCCCATTTCCTTTTCCTTTCTTCCTACCACCTTGTTGCTGAGTGCCTTTGGAAACCCCCCAAGAATCATCCTGACTTCCTTCCCTACAAATCAGTCTCTGCTGCCTTCAGCTCTATTACTTTTTCCTCCCTCACTTGAATGCCTATGGCCCTCATGATTTTTGGTGTCTCCTTATACCCATGCCATCATCACTTTTCAGCTCAGGATTTTACCAATTTTTTTCCAGCTGATATGAGCTCTCTGTCTAGCCCCGCCCTTCATTCTTGGGACCAGCTCTGAGCTTTTTGGGGTATAGGCCATCTTTTTGTTCTATTATGAGCACGATTTGGCCTGGGTCCATGACAGAAGCCCTAGATGCTACCACGTGCTATTACTACTCCTGAGTTGTCTTCATACTGTTCATCTCTAACCTCTTGACTGTATCTTTGCAATTATTTCTTCACTCTTGCTCCTTGGTCTTAATCAGACTCTCATTCTGCTGTTCATGTATATCTGAACATGCCACTATCTCATTTATCTTACAAAAATACTTTTTCCTCTGTGCTTCCTGCTTTTCTAGCTTCCAACCTGGCTGTCATCCCTGATCTTCCTCTCCCATTTGCAGAAGGGCGCACTGTTTCCAAAACTCATTACCTTTGTAATCTCCCATTTTAGAATTGGGAGGACTTCACCCTCCTCCTTGCTCGCTTGCACAGCAGCCATCTTGTTCTCCTATGTTCAAAGATGCTACAAAAACCTATCTTCTTCATCTACTTTATCACATCCCTCTGAGTCCCTTCTTGGGCCTTGTTGCACATCATTTCCTGTTCAAACTCTTCATACTTACATTAAGATATGTAGCTCTTTGTACAAGTGTTGACACTTCGGGAATTTTTTTATTTTCAGTTTTTTGTTTATTGGATAGTCTGTGTATTTGACTGCTTTAATTTTAAATAATACATTGTAGTACGGTGGTCTTAGTTCAGCTTGTGATCTCAGCTGGCAGGTGTCTACATTTTAAATCATCATCCTGATTGGAACTAACAGGCACAGATGTTAACAGAGGTGATGATTAGTAGTTAACTACAATTGGATGCAACTATATATTGTCCTCACCCAGTAACCGTGGCCCCTTTAAATTTCAGTGGGGGCGCTTCCATGAAGAAGCTTGCATTATTTCTGGCTTGTTATCTTATTACAGGTAGGTGCGTGGACATTTGAAACCTTCCATTTTTCTCAGACACTGCCCTAAAAAGAATGTATTTTAAGGGGTCTGCTTCTGGATTTCCCAATGGTTTCAATGTTACATGGTAACGAATCTGCTTGAATTAATTGTTTGGCAAAATAGGGAGTATGTGTTTGTGGTATGTTAAAGAGAGCATTGAACAATTTGCAGTGAAGTTGTCCAGTGGTCCCTCTCTTTTATTATTTTGTTTGGTAAGAGGAAAATATTAAAATGTGGAGTGGAAGAGTGACAGTTATTGTGAAATAAGATTAATCTTTGGCATCCCAAAGCAGCTAAGCTTGTTTATTTTCCCCTATCACATTGAGATTGCAGTGAAGTGGTTCTTGGTTTTGGATTCTTCCAACATAGATTAATAGATGTTAGAGACTAGAAGAGACCTCTTGAGATCATCAGGTCCAGCCCCCCTGCACTTGGGCAGGAAAGACTTTGGGGGTCATATGACCCCAGCAAGGTGAACGTCCAGACTTTTTTTTTTTTTTAAAGGTCACCAGAATAGGTGATTGTACCACTTCTGGGGAATTGAGACAATCAAACAAATATTAAGATGAGATGGTTTCCAAATGCTGATATTGGCTCTCAATGTCACAAGGAGAGTCCTTTCTTATAAAGGTAAGATGGATGTCAGCATGAGGCCTCCAAAAGCCTGTTTATCATTAACATTCTTCAGTTCTGAAAGCTGTCTGTTGGGCCTTTCCTTCTTGTAGGGTCTGGTGAAAAGCAGTGGTAGAGTAGGCCCTTCTAACCCCTCCCTATAAGAGTGGAAGGAAAAAAAAAGGCCTCTGAATTAACAGAGAAAAGGCAGTGCTGCACAGTAAAATATAGGGTAGCAAGGAATGCTTGGAGTCTTTATGACAGCTCTTAAGTGGAAATGCCTCTCATCACAAATAGCACCAGTCTGGGGGTGAGATTCCAAGTGCCTCTTCTCCCGAACCCTGCTAACATAGGCATAGCATTATCAATTTCAGCCATATGTGCATTCTTACACACTGATTTCTCTTTTTGTCTAACTGTGTTCTAGGTACCCGAATCATCTATGACCGCAAATTTCTGTTGGATCGCCGCAACTCTCCTATGGCTCAGACCCCACCGTGTCATCTCCCAAATATTCCAGGAGTCACCAGTCCTGGCACTGTGGTTGAGGATTCCAAAGTGGAAGTAAACAATCTGAACAATCATGATGGGAAGCCTGCAATGGGTAAGTGTGTGGATGGTGGCAATGGTTGTTACTGCATTTAACTTCCAGTATAGCTTTACCAGATCTTAAGCTGAAAGATGATGATGGTGGTGGGTTTATTGCAAATAGCTACAGCATGAAATTAACATGTAGATTTCCTTCCTCTGAGTCACCAGTGTAACCAGTATAACCACACTGCTGAACTATATTACAATGACTGTTAGTTATACAGACTGCAAAATAAACTGGTTTAGTTTCAGTTTCAGAAATATTTAACTTGTACGTGGCTTTACTCTTCCCCTAATGAAACATTTCGTCCTGAAGCTATGAAATTAAAGAATTATCTTTTAGATATTTGCATCCAGTCTGTTTATGTACAGTAGTCTGTCACTTGCATATGAGCACTTTCCACATGCAGTCATTGGTCATCATGAAATGGATCTGACCTGTGCAGAGAGACCCTGAGGCTAGCTCTGTATATACTAGCCATGATAGCTGCACTTTCAGTGAAACAGCTGCACTGCTGCTGCTTGACAGTTAACATGTTCAGAGCTAGTTTTGATGTCTGCAGTATACCTTACAAACAGGCTACAAAGAGACTAGGCTGCAGGACTGCCCATGAGGGAAAAGGGTTGTGTAGTAGAGTTGTGGGACTGCTTGTGCTGGGGGAGCCATGAAACTGCCTATAGGGGTGAAGAGATGGGAGGACTGTGGATCTGCAGTGTGTAGAGCAGGACAGATGTAGCAGCGGCTTCAGGCAGAAGCAGGTCCCACAGTCCACCTTCCACCCTGCCATAGACAATGGGTCACTCAAGTAATCTTTTTTTTCCCCCCTTCTTTCTTCCTTAATGAGCTATGGACTAGCAAAATTAATTAACATGCATGTTGCCGTAAACATATGTAGGGAATCATTAATCTAGGCAGTAACAAGCACTCTTGTATTAAAATTGGGGCCATTAATGACTTCTACAAATAAAAGAAATTGACCAAAAGCCATGAGTCTGGTGGTTTTATAGCTAGGAACTTAAACGAGCTGTCATTTTCAACACACTCGCACTTCCATTCAGAGTGACTGCTGCATGTCCACAGCCTGGCTTTCTATAGCAGATAATCTGTTTTTGTTCCAGCTACCATGCTGAGTTAATTACTGGGGATATCTGATGACAATATGTATGTAAAAATAAAAACAAAGTATGGTGGGGAAGTGGGGGGAGTTTCTCCTTCCTCTTGAGGACTTATAGAGATCTCTATCCAGCACTGCTCTCATTATTCTTCTTTTTCCAGGGGATGATGCTCAGTTTGAAATGGACATCTGATCACCACAGAGGGTAACCATGGAGAAGCAGCAACTCCTGATACCTGTGCATATGTGATTTCGGCTAATAGGATCAGTAATCAAAAGTTGGAAGAAGCGGCAGCAGTTTCCATTAGAATCCCCACCTTGCCTTCCAGGTGCCAAAGGATAAGACCAGGTCCCCAGTCCTGTTCCCCCTTTTTTCTCCCTCTACATTGCCTGTGACTGGATGGAAGCCCTTGTCAAATTTAACTGAGCTGAGGAACATGCCGAGTGCAACCTTGGCTTCTCGCACTTTAAAGGCAACCTGTCAAACCATGCACAAGCGAGAACATACCTCCAGCCCCAATTGGATATTTATTGTAAACAACAAAGGGGCCAGGGAGCAGTTAGTTTATGCCGAATGAATATGGCATTGCTTCTGCTCTCTTCCTTCAGCTTGATCCCAGTTCACAAATGGCTCGCATGTGCACAGTAAGTAACTGTGTCTCGGATGCTTTCAGTCACTCAAGTTTTAGAAATTGCAAGGAGTAGTGGGAGATAGTAAAAGGTCTGCTCAGTCTGAGCTCCTTCACCTCAGTGGGCAGAACACTCATTTCACCTGCGTTCTAGCCCTTTCTCTCTCCATAACTCTGTTTGTAATGTGTCTTGCAGTGGTAACGTGCATTCTCTCTTCAGATGAGAGAGCCTTTTAATTCATTGTTTTGCACCTCCTTGGTTCCCCCTGCCCCAACTTCCTGTTGAATAATGCTTTTTAATATTATGTGTATTTAGAGAGAGGCATCAACTTGGTATACTGCTGCTTCTTCCTTTGCCCACCTCATCCCAAAGGAAAACCACCCACAAACTCCAGTTTGCAAAAGCTTAACTCCTGTGCCTCCTGAGTGTTTTTGATGAATAAGTCCATCGACACTAAATCAAAACAGGAGCTTTTGGAGATATGACACAGGGGAGGAGGAGAGGGGGGTAGATTATCAGTTCTCCTCTATGCTGTTTATCCTCAGCACTTTTTCTGTTTTTTGCCCCTTAGTAGTTTATCCTGCTTTCTTTTCTAGTCCATGTTGTAGAATATTATATTAAAGGTACTTCAGCAGTTGTTCATTTTTGACATCTCCCGTCCTGTGTGCATTAGGAGCAGTATTTTTCCCAGTACTGATTTTAATAAATATGTTTAATATTAGCCCTTTCAGAACCCCTCCCATCAAAAGGAAAAAAGTGCCAAGTGGCTTCTGAGCAACAGCAGGTCTGATCCAAACTTACACCCTCCTTCTCCATTCAAAGTTCACAGTGCTGCTTTAGTTTACTAGCTCCATTATTTTTTCTCCAAGCCTCTCTTAGTTAATGATTCTTGGGTTTGCTGCCTAAGATTTTTACAAGTCAGCCAATATAAGTGAGCTTCTGCGAATGGGCAATTTTGTTTTTAGTCCCATGATCTCCAGTACTTACTCCTGTCTCTTTTACAAAAGGGGTTGGTAGGAAACCAAACCCACAGTGATTGGTAGTGGATTTTACCAAGAGGGTGGTACTTCAGGCCAAGTCTTCTCTGGTGAGAGCCACTTAAAGGGTCTGTTTTAGTTGCTGATGGCATCAGTTGGACCTTTGCTGAATGCGTTCCATTGACTTGCTAATTGGCGGACTTTCTAACACCTTGGTCGGAAATCTACGCAACTCCATTATAAATTGGAAGAGACCCTTTTCTCTTTGGGTCTGTTAAAGGGGCACTTTACTAGTAAAATACTTCTTGGTGGGGGAGGAACATCTGAAAAGCTGTAATTTTCCCTGTTCTCCTTCAAAATGTGAATAACACAGGAGCAAAAGCCCTTTGTAATGTTTGATCTCTCAGGAATAGGCTCTGTAGTGTAGTAGGAAATGCAGGGTCTCTTAAGTTTGGTGATGGTCAGAAAAGTGACTAAAATAACATTTCTAGTCCTATGTTTATTCTGGCATGATTCACCTATGTATAGTATGAAGGACACTAGAGAAAACTGCTGTACTATATGATTCCCATGTTGAGTCTGTTCAGCTTAGTTATCTCTAAAGGGCACTGCAAGTTCAGCCTGGTGCTAGCCCATGGCTTATTTTTTTTCATTCTGCTTCATGCATCATCACCAGCAGTAGTTTCAAGCATTTAGCTAGCTGTTTTAGAGATGAGGCAGAATACAGTGCAACTTGATTTTTGCAGTGCTAATAGTAATAAAAACTTGGGTTTGTCCATGTATTAAGCAGGCTTGACATGGGAAACACAAGAAGAAAGTGTCAATGCCATGGGCATTGTTAGTCACTTTTCTCATCAGAGTGATTCTCCTTATTTTGGTGAAGGGGTAACTCTTCCAACCATTGCACAGGGTTTCAGCTGTTTTGGCTTTTATAGTAACTGTTGTGCAGCTGACACACTCACAACAAGGAAAACATTTTTCTACGAGTGCAGTACAACAAGAGCTTCCTTTATACCACAGTCATGTTAACATGTATTGGCAGAGGCCATTTTGATTTCGAGCTGCATTTTTTTTAAATACCTAGATAAGAAACAAATATCCAGAGGGAAGGATGATCTTGTGTGTAAAGCTGGGCTAGGAATATGGGTAATTTGGGGTGTTCCTGGCTATGACACAGACTTCCTGTTTAACCTTAGGCAAGTCAGTTAATCTCTTTGTGCTTCAATTCCCTATCTGTAAAATGGGGATAACAGTACTTCCCTACCTCACAGGGGTGTTGTGAGGACAAATTTAACTGATCTATGAGATACTCAGATGCTATAGTAATGAGGTTTTAGAAAAGCCTAAAAATATTTTCAAAAGTGCAAGAGGTTGGTTCAGTCCTGTCACAAATGCAGCAATGGTATTCAAACACCAGCATTTGCCACGACAAGTCTCCATTCTCTTGTGCTTTATTTCTTCCCCACAACTCCTCTGGCCATGGTGTGGTGCCAGGGAAAGTGGTGACTGAATAAAAATAGTGCACTCAACCCTTCTAGCTTTGCTGGGCAGCTTTGAAAAAGGCATTCTTACCTGTTTTGCTCAGTTCTGTGTCTATAACCTTAATGTTCTCTAAGAAGTTATTCGTTCTGCACATAAACTTTCAATTTCATTTTTGTGCCTCCTACTGCTGATCACAGTCTTAGTGATCAGTGACATATGTGACACCAGCAATGTGGGGTGGATCCCAGCATTGGAGACTAAACTACTTTCCATTCTGGTGTTGTAATGGTTGAATCAAGCAAAATCTGAACATCATTGCTTGTGGTTTAAAATGACACTGTCAGGTTAAAGATGGTATTTTTAAAACATGTTGTTTTCTGTAACTAATAAAACTGATAAAAATCTAATCTAATCTAATCTATTTTCACCTTCTATAACACTTGTTTTACTACTTTCACTATGCCTAACTTCCACAAAGAAAATAGTGTGTTCACTTTCTCTCTGGATTTTAACCAGTGGTGCAGATACACTTAGATACAGACACAGTCCTCTGCTCATTAAAATGAAGGGAAGGTAATGGAAACATTCCCATTTGTTAATTCTGATTTATGTAATAGCCTCAAGTGTTTGTGCCCCAGACCTTGCAGAGCAGATTCTTCCTTATTACCATTGCTTTGAACTATCCAAGGAGTGCCCTTTAAAGCTGCTTACTTTACTACTGGAGGGATCTCCTTGGGTGTTGCAGAACCACAAGAGCAGTTCCTACACCCACCCTCTCCTTGCATCCAGCAAGGCCAGGAGAGAGAGTGGCAGAGGTCAGGGCAGTCCTCAACTGCTGCATTGGCCTCTTGGCCTACTCTAACTTGTGCTTTGAGGGAGTACCTGTAAGACTTGAGGAGTACAAAGGTAGCTTACAGCCATCTTTCCCTTGCATCATCTCTCTCTCTAGCCCTTACTTTTAATCATTAAAACACAGGTCTTGGATAACACATTGCATTAGGGAAGGATCCTGTTCACGTGCAGGGACCTGGGCTCACATTATAAACCTAACCATAATGGAAAATCAGTCCAACAACCTTCTCCTAATGCCTGCTGCTGCAGTTAAATTGATCTGTTGTAGGGGATTCCACCCCATCATATTTAGGGCCAAAGTCTTCATGTAGACCAGGATTCGGGAAACCTAAAACACTCCTACTAAACTAAGTTCAAAAGCATGTTCTGACCCTGGTTTGGAAAAGCAGCATTTCCAACTGTCTAAGCCCTATGGCCTCAGTGGTTTTCAAAATTGATTAGCTAAACTGGTTTTAAAACCAGTTATGTGAGTTTTAGGAAAATTTACTTGTGTAGACCAGGCCAGTCTGAGAGGATTGGGCAGTTCAGGAAGACATGGAGATGAGAATACCAGGGGAGGTGAGGTGTAGGTCAGGATGCAGGTGTCTCACTATGGCTGCTGGAAGATAAATTTGTTTAACACAGTCTCATTCTGTCTGGCTGTAGCCAAGAAGTCTTCGCCTCCATGAAACACCAAACTCTGACATACAAAAAGAAGTTTAAAATAGATCTCTTTAAACTATTGCATCCTTCTCTTCAATACTGCTGTGGATTCCAGTGACTTGTGATAGATACTGATACAGGAAGGCATCTGTTTTGGTCTCATTAGCCTCTGCCATTATCCCTTTCAGCTTCTCTCCACTGCCCTATGCCCAGGGACTCTCCCTCCCCCCAACACTTGGTGGTGGGGGGGGGGGAAACTTGTTTAAAAAAAGCTAATTTTTGTCTTTCAAATGACCTGCTTCCCTGATCCCAGTTTTCCCATACTTGGTTTGGATTTATTTTTTATTTTGTTGCCTTGAGTGGATTAAAATGTTATGGTTTTTCCTTTTTTAAAAGAAAAACTAATAGAACAATAACAGAGAACTCAAAAGATGCAATATTGCTTATTCATGAGTACTTTGGCTTTAAATAAATGTTTTGCCATTCCTGTCCTTTCTGCTCCCTCATATTTGTGCTGAGGGAGGTTTGCATAGCTTTGAAAGAGCAACTAGACTAATATAAGCAAGTGACTGCATATTTATGTTGAGCAACAGTCACCTATGTTGTAGAAAGAAACTTTTAAGGAGACTTCAGACCTGAGTGCCACCCATCTCCCCATCATTGTTCATCTAACCATTGTCAATTTGTTTCATTATTTTGAATGTGGTACTCTTTGATTAAAAGATGAGTCTTAGTCCTGCTATGAAGTTAGAAGCAAGGATCTCTGACAGTGAGGCTCCCTGAAAGCAAAGAGCCTTGGCACAGGTGGAGGGGTCCATGCTAATGGAACTGATTGCAGAAGCAGTGCTGAGGGTGGAAGAAGTGAGGGACTGAGTACCTTTGGGGAAAAAGTTTCTGTAATGGGATTTTATTTCGTGGGGATATGCCAGGGAATGAGATTCCACCCAAAGCAAATCTCTTAGACTTGTAAATAGTTTTGCATCAACTACTGTTAAGCTCTTTCCAGCTTCTGCTGAATTGATTGCACTGGAAGCATTGTTTCCTTTTCTTATCTGAAAGGAAAGTATGCTTCTGGAAATACTTGTCAGCTGCTTTGTAGTGCTGAGAGAGAGTGGCAGAACAATTTGCAATAAGCCTATTTGTGACAGTCCCAAGACTCCAGGGTGTTCACAGCTCCAAAAAGACGCTTGTTTTCTTTTCAAGCTTTGGTAATAGATACGACTTGGTGACAGCTCAAATGTGCATTTCCATTGTGAATTACTCTGTTCTATGATCTGGTTAAGATGCCTGTGTGCTCTGGACCCGTTACCACTCCTCTGTCCTAGATCAGCTTACAGGGGAAGGATAAAACAATTTCCATTTACACCTGCTCTGCACAGTGAGCATCCCTTTTGCAATTCCCCTTTCATCTCTGGGCACTAGGAGTAAAATACCTACCAATTACCAGTAAACAAGTTTGATCTGGTGGGTGATCTAGGCTCCTACACTACATTGTGACTGGTAGCATGTCAGGGGAGGCTTGAGGAATGCCTAGCAGTACTGTTAATCACTGTTGCTATAAATTAGATGTGTTTGGAATTATTTGCAAAGGATCTTCCTGACTGTTGCTTTTGTCTCTCTCATGCCTGGCTGGTGTTATCAACTCTCTGAAAGTGGCTGTCAAATCTTCCGTATCTGTGTTCTCCTTCCTACCACAAGGCAGAAAAGATGCCAGGAAGCAAGAGTGAAGCTGTCCTTTCTTCCCCAGCTGTGGCAAACTTAAAATGCCCCCAGTTTTAGGAACCTCAGCAGTTTGGAGTCAGACTCAATAAACTGGATGCACTAGGCTTGGTTCCATACCAGTAAACTAACGTATGGAATTAATTCTTTTTGCATGTGTATCTTCTAGTATAGTATTTTCAGTTCCCCATTTTAATCTTCAGGGGCAGGGTGATCCAGCATGGAATTGGCTCATGCTTAAAGAAACCAAACCTCATAACTGGCTTACAGGCTGGTCTGATAATTTCCTGGTTCCATAGTTTTGTAGGAAACTTCTAAATGATCCTGGAAAATGTGGACCTTGTGTCCATATGCAGAATTCAGTCATCAAGAGATGAAAAAATTCAAACACTTTGGTTAAAGAAAGGACTACTACATCTTTGGGAAGAGAGCATAGCATCCAGATAATGTTAATTCAGTTTCGCTTGCATCCATGACTGAGTTAGCTTTATCAGCTTTAACTGGTAGCGTTTCTCATTAGTCCCCAAATCTTCCCCATTCAAAGGAGGTGCTTAGGGGTTTTGTTGGTACATATCAGCATGAGGTGCCTAACTGTTCTTTTGTTCACTGTCCCTTCTTCCCTGAGCCTTCCCTTTAGGATCTAGTATTTCTGTCCCAGAACCCTTAGTGCCTATTACCTGTAACAATTCTGCTCCTAACTAAATTTTTTAAAATCAGTCATTGATGAAGTGATGATTAGCCTTATCTGCTTACTCTATTAATTTTCCATGCATCATGATCTCAACACAGTGTTAAAATACTAGATTACTTTTGTGGTGGGACTCAAATGGCATCACAGACACAGGGCTTGTGCACTTTCTTCTAGTAACCTACAAGCCCCTAGGAATGTATGCTGAATCCTCTAGCTGTCAGTGCCTCTCTCTGCTTCCCTCTCTTTTCCATGTTATGAAAGCAGTCCCTTATGAACTCCTGCTGGAGGTCTTCGTTATGCTTTGGTAGTGGATGTTCTGATGTGGTAAAGTTGAGATTTCTTGAAGGCTTTATAGCACACCTCTCACAATGTCCTGTACTTCAGACTAATCCCCCTGCCCTGCCTCCTTTGCACATGGATTGGCATGACTTTTCATTTATGTTGTAAAATGACCTATATATATAACACCGGCGGTTGAGAGGTATGCTTTCATCTTCTTTAAATAAGAAATCTCTGCCTCGGATACTGAAAGCGTGTGTGAGTGAGTGCAAATATAAATATGTATATGTGTGTGGGTGGGTCGTTATAACACACACAAATAGAGAGATACAAAATAAATATATTTTACTTAACCCAAGGAAGTCCGTTAGATTCTTGGATAGAAGCACCACAGGGAAGACTTGCTTTGCTAAGCAAGAAGAGCCAGCCGCTGCTGTGCACAGCATCTGTTTTAGCAGAGTGACTCTGCAAGGCCTGCTCTAAAAGCCAAAATCCAAGGATAACTAACTTAAAACAGGAGCCATGTGGAACATGCAGCAGGAATGAGCTTTAACTGTTGTTCTAATCATACAAGGAGTGAAAACTCGAGGGCAGTGAGAGCCTAGGCCCAATTGCTGCTGGGGATAGCACAGGAATTCCCCACCCTTTTTCCCAGGGCAGTGCTGTGAGATGGTGATCCAGTGCCTTTCTTCACCTCAGACAGGAAGATAACTTTTGCAGCAATGTGAAACAGCTGTTTCTTGGTCTGTGAAGGTGTCTTTGGAGAGCAAGGCCAATAATATGATTTATAGGTATCCTTGATGCATTTTAAAATTTAGTGATTTAAAAACAAATAACTTTTTCAAAATGCCCTGCTCCCAGCTCCTCCTCTTCCCCCTTTCCT